AGCTCTGTGACCGCTGTCCGTCCTGCTCGCTCCAGCTCTGTGACCGCGGTCCGTCCTGCTCGCTCCAGCTCTGTGACTGCTGGCCGCCCCATTCTACCCTGACACCCCCCCTCTGACTGCTGGCCGTCCTGCTCCGCTGTGCACCAGCCCTGCGACCACTGGGTGAGGAATCATAATAAACGGAAACATTAAGAAAAAAGCATAGAAAGAAAGAAAAGTAAAGCAGATGGAGTAGACGAGCTCTGGGCTCCTGGGCTGAGGAACCTGTGTGTTGTGCTGCTACTCTGCCACCATCTTGGAAAATTCCTAATCCTGTTTCAATTTAACACTTGACCGCCCCAGGCTTTACATTTTTCCATCTTTCCAATTTTGTGCATTTCCCCAGACCTCTAATATCCTTAACTGTTGCACATTCCTTCTTTCTTTGATGACTTAACCTTGATTTTCTGTTTCTCTTGATCATGTCTCCAACACCGTTTTATCGGTTTCAAGCAGTTTTCCTGTCCACATCTCAGTTTTAATTTCAGAGGAAGGAACTTTCACCCAAAATGCCACTTTGTCTGTTTTCTTCAGAGCCCTGCTGTGTGTTTCCAACAATTTTTGTATATTGGCAGGCTTGTAAAGTAACAAAGCTTGATGTAATCATTTTAACTCAAATCTTTTGATTGTTAAACTGTTTTTTAACTTCATGCAGTTCATTCATGCTAAGCATATTCCCCACACTGTTACTCATCGGCTTTTTGCTCTATACACTGCGACGAGGATCTATGGCAGCAGGCCGTGGGGGGCGAAGTGGTGGACTCTTCAGTGTGGGAGAAACAACAGCAAAAATGCTGAAAGATGACATTGATGTCAAATTCAAGGATGTCGCAGGATGTGAAGAGGCTAAATTAGAAATAATGGAATTTGTTAACTTTCTGAAAAACCCTAAGCAATATCAGGATTTGGGGGCCAAGATCCCAAAGGTATGGAAACAATGTTTTAAGCAAAACTACATTCATAATCTGAAGAATGTTTGAAGCAACAGGAAAAAAGTGTGGCATCTTAATTGCAGGAATGTTCAAATTATGATGCCTTGCATGAGGAAGAGCACAAGACCATAATGTACATAAATAGTGCTCGCAAACCTTCCTGTTTTGACATATGAATCAATAGTTGTCTGATAATAGTTGTGACTTGTAGGTTATTAAAGAATAGGACAAGAATATCTCAACCTTAGAGGTGAACAGTGCAACACTTTGGAATGTCCCAGGATTCATGAGAACTGCAGTTGATTTTTACATTATAAATTTTGCTTTTCTGAAAGGTCATTGTCATGCAGAGCATTAATTCATAAAGGAAATCAATTTGATTATCCTGTTTAGTTGTTGTGTTTTTACATGTAGGTTATTGAAATAGTGCAGTGCACAAGTATAAAATATACCATTTCAAGCTTTAAAAAATTTAGAAAATAGATAGTATCCATGTCCAATTTATGTTGCAACATCTCCAAGGGAGGATAAAATATAATTCGGCAGAGTTTGAAACTATGTTGTGTTGTTGATTCTAAATATGCCCAGTATTTGTAGTAATGATCTGTCATTGGTTACAGGGTGCAGTTCTGTCTGGACCACCAGGAACTGGGAAAACCCTGTTGGCTAAAGCAACAGCTGGGGAAGCAAATGTTCCTTTTATAACTGTTAATGGATCTGAATTCCTGGAGATGTTTGTTGGTGTTGGACCAGCCAGGGTAAGAAAGGAAATTGCTATATGTCTCCTGAATTGAGTGTTTTTTTTTAAGCATTTTCATCCTTCAGTTTGGTAACCAGACCTGAACCAAAGCTGATAGTGGACCTCATGTAATGAGGCATTTGATTTAACTGTTAAAATAATGAATAATTATTTCCATTTTGAATAATTTACTTGGTGAAATGTTTGTAAAACATGTTTTTAAAATTCCTGATCATCCAATTTTTGTTCATTCCCACAGCAATCAAATAAGATTTAAATTTTTAAAGATGTAAAATGTCTTGTCTCAGATCTGAAGTCTTTATATTTGACACTAGCAAAAGAGGAACAGTTATTGCAAATATAGTAACGTTTTATGGATATTCTAAAGGAAGTGAATTTTATTTGTTTTTCCCATTTTCTCATTTTGTGTTTTTCTGTCTGACTTGATTTTCTTGTTCTAGTGATACTTCTTAGCTCAACAAGCATTTGTTTTAGCCTATATCCTATACAGTATCCTTCCTTAAACATGAGATGAGCAACCTCCATTTATTAAGCCTTTTCCTTTAATTGCACTAAAATGTCAATAGGAGAAGAATTTTTAATATAGCTTTGCCTGTTATTCACATGCAACCCTATGGAAAAGCTGACCAAAGATCAAGTGGAGATGCCCATACCTGATCTGCAGCTGGAACTATGTTGGATACCGTTTTGATTCATTGTGTTTTAGTTTTCCTGTGCCTGAAAAGAAAATACAAGCTGAATCAAGATATTTAAATAGAGTGGTCAGTAGCTGAGTAGCTCTGGCAGAACTCAAACTGAGCACAGTGCGCAGGTTATTGCAAAGCAAATGCATGAAAGGACTGTTGACAATCCTTTCTATAACATGGTAAGTGAGAGTAGAGTGATGGGCCGGTAATTGACCAAGTTGGATTTGTCCTTTGTTTTGTGTACAGAAAATACTGGACAACTTTCCACATTGTCAGGTACATGCCAGTGTTGCAGTATTCTGTATTAGCTTGACGAGGGGTGTGGCAAGTTCTGGAGCACAGGTCTTTGGTACTATTGCTAGAATCTTGTCGGGTCCCATAGCCTTTGCAGTAGTTATTGCCTTCAGTCATTTCTTGATATCACGTGGAGTGAATGGAAGTTTCTGAATTGCTGGGGACTTCTAGAAGAGACTGTTCACTGTGGTCAGTTAAGCTTGAAATTGAGCTACTCCGTATTTTCTTGACAGTGTTTGTTCAGAAGTTCCTGACAGATAGCTATCAGTCAGCTTTTACAGCTGGGTCCCTGAAGTCTGCACACCTGTCCTCTGCAGCAGGCTTAGAATGCAAGCTTACTGTTTTTATTTAGCTGGTTCCTTGGCATCTCATTCTTCTGCCCTTTCTCTTGAATATTGCAAAGAAAATCTCTCTGTTCAAATCTGTCTGTGTTACGAATGTGAGATGCCCATCTTTGAGCTGGAGTTTGCTGGGTTGTGGTTGAATGCCTTACATTTTCCCGGCTGTCTCCCTGTTCTGGTGTTGAGATGGCCAGACATACTGCAGGACAAATCCTTCAGACTCAACAGTTGCTATGCTTCTGTTATAACCCCATTTATTACCATTGCTTCAATGGGGGTTCCAGATGTGGATTGACGGTGGCCTGTCCTTGTCTGCTTCCTTGTTTTGGTGCCTGGTGTGTCTTGCAAGAACAAAGATACTGTGTTAGCATGTGCTAATGAGGTGTATGTCCATCATGGTAGAAGGGTATGGATGGTGTATGAAAGATGACAATTGAGTGAGGAAGTAATTGCGAGGCCAGTAGCTATTGCAGGAAATGAAGTGTATTGCAGTGAGTTTAAAGGATTGATTGAAATGTTGTGGCCTGGGGTGGAGGTGGGGTCAGGGTGAGGTTTCTGAGTGAAATTTTTAAGGAGAAAGTGATCAAAGATAGAACTGGAGTCTTGGTTTAGAAGCCCTTACCTGCCCAAGACCTGGCTGCGATAATGACGCATGCATTAACCCACTATTCTGCTTCCATTCTGAAGAAGAGCTATATTAGACATTATGTTTCACTCCACACATGCCATTAAACCTGGGTTTTTCCAAGACTTTTATTTCAGATCTCCAGCATCTGAAGTACTTTACTTTTACTTCTGCTAATAAGCTCTCACCTGACCACCGGAGCAATGCTAAAACTTTAGGTGCTTATTCCTGCATTACCTTGTAATTTAGTCAAAATGCAATTCCTGTTAAATAGGTACAATCTGTTTTCAATGACTGCAAAGACTCCTAATTTTCTCTCTTCTGTGCCATCCCACACAATAGGAGAGCTGCCAATAAACAGTGACGCTAGCAGCTCACCGATTTTAGTTACATGAGGCATAAATGCAGTATGGTTCCTGCCTTGTGCATGTGTAATTAACCATGTGGAGCAATCAGGCTGCAAATTTCCCAGCCAACTACAACCAGTTTTGTAACCATAGAGCTTTGTTTATACACCTTTAGTGTGAAATGTTGTTGAACGGATACAACATAACAGAGCTATAATGTAACATTCTAGTAACTCAATATGTAGAATTGTGGACCGCCTTGGGCTTAAATGCCTCTCTGTTGTTTTGAAGATCATCTGCTATATCAATGGGTACTCAATTTGTAACTGTTTTCCCAACCTTATCTCATACACAAATCCTTACTTTCAGGTTTGCAGCCTAAGACCACCCGCATTTTGATTTCTGCATTCATTTGTAATGTATGTTTGGCTGTTATCTGAGTAGTTCTAGATGGGTTTAATTGGATATTAATGAATTAACATTGCTATTTTAAGCATTGCATATTAAGACAACAAGCATTGGAGCTCCTGCCAATTGTTGAGTGGTGATTTCCTATTTCAGGTGAGGGACATGTTTGCCATGGCACGGAAAAATGCTCCATGCATTCTCTTCATTGATGAGATTGATGCTGTTGGAAGGAAGCGGGGTAGAGGAAACTTTGGTGGACAGAGTGAACAGGAGAACACCCTAAATCAGCTACTGGTCGAGATGGATGGTATGTGACGAGGATAAATGTTGACATGATTGGTACTTGGATAGTGCAAAAATCCATTTGACTTTAACTAAGGGTTTTAAAATACCAAGCATGCATATTCTACCTCTAAAAGGATTTTATGTAAAATGCATGGTCACAGATTTCCTGTAATACTTTTCTGTACAGTTGAATACCTTCTTCCCTCCTACCCCCGGCAGTGCAGTCCTTGGTTACACGAAGGACCTGAAGCTAGTTTTTATTGATAAACTTTGTACTGAATTTGTCCAGTGTATTCACAAGTGCAATCACCTATTGCAGTATCAAACAGGTAAAGCACTGAAAACTGGATATTGGGCTAGAATCAATTTGTGGGACGGAGGGAAATTCCAAACCTCCTTATGACTAAAACCCAAGATTCTACAACTATTTGCAACCCCCAGTGCTGCAAGATGGGGGTTGCAAATAGTTGTAATTTCGACCTGGATTATGCCAGTAAAATTTCTGGGAAAACACAAACCGACCATAAAAGCTTCTATAAAGATGTGAAGAGAAAAAGATCAGTGAGGACTAAATAATGTAGGATACTTGCTGTCAGAAGCTGTGGAGCTATAATGGGGAACAAAGAAATAGCAACCTAATTGATTTCAAACTTTCAGTCCTGTCTTCACAAAAGAGGGCATAAATACCTCCCAGAAATGTTAAGAAACCAAGGGCCTGGTGAGATTGCAAAATTGAGGAAAATTAGTATTAGGAAGAAAATGGTGATGGGGTAATTAATAGAGTTAAAGGCTGACAAATCCCCAGGGCCTAATAATCTACAACCCAGAGTACTAAAGAAAGCGGCCCTGGAATTATTGGATACATTGGTGATCATCTTCCAGAATTCTATAGAATCTGAAGCCGTTACTACAAATTGGAAAGTGGCAAATGTAGCCCCACTGTTTAAAAGACAAGAGAAAGAAAATACGGAGATTTACGGGCTAGTTAGCCTTGCATCAGTAGTGGAGAAAATGCTGGAGTCTTGTTACAAAATATGTGAAAAGCAGAGAATTTGGGCATTAATGTGATTGGACAAAGCTAGCATGAGTTATGTAAGGGAAATCATGCTTAACAAATCTATTAGAATTTTTTTTGAGCTTGCAACTAAGGGAATAGATAAGGAGAACCAATGGATGTGTATTTGGATTTTCAGAACGCTTTTGATAAGGCCCCTCACAAGAGGTTAGTGGGCAAAATTAAAGCATGTGATAGGGGGTAATATATTGACTTGAATCGCAGATCAGTTGACAGACTGGAAACGGAGTGAGTTTTTTCCAAAAAGCAGGCAGTGATTCATTGGGTACCACAAAGATTGGTGCTTGGACCACCAGCTATTCATGATATATATGTTATGACATGGATGAGGGAATCAGTTGCAACATTTCCAAACTACTGATGATATCAAACTAGACAAGGTTGTTTGTTGTAAGGAGGAGATGAGGAGGCTTCAAAGTGATTCAACAAGTTGAGTGGGCAAGCAGGGGCAGATGCAATATGTAGTGGTTAAATGGGAAGTTATACACTTCAGTGTGAAAAGCAGAAAGAAAGAGTATTATTTAAATGGTGGTATATTGGTAAATGTGGCTGTACACAAGCATCTTGGTGTCTTTGTACACAAGTCAATGAAAATAGACAGGCAGGTGCAGCAAACAATAAAAAGGCAGTTGGTATATTAGAACAGGATTTGTATTCAGAAGTAGTGCTGTCTTACTGCAGTTATATAGGCTCCAGTGAGACCACGTCCAGAATATCGAGTACAGTTTTGGTCTTCCTTCCGAAGAAAGGATATACTTGCCATGGAGAGAGTGCAGCAGAGGTTAACTTGACTGATAGCATGGGGTGGCAGGAATGATGTATGAGGAGAGATTGATTTGACTGAATCATTATTCACTTGAACTTAGAAGGATGAGAGGAGATCTAATTGAAATGTTTAAAATTCTAACAGGGCTAGTCATACTAGATGCAGGAAGGATGTTTTCCCTGATTAGGTAGTCTGAACCAGGGGTCACAATCTCAGGATACAGGGTAGGGCCTTTAGGATTGAGATTGGGACACATTTCTTCACTCAGAGGGTAGTCAGCCTGTGGAATTCTCTATCATTGATGACTGGAGACCAAGTCACTGAATATAATCAAGAAAGATACAGATAAATTTTTAGTTTTTAAAGGCATCAGAGGGTCCCTGGAGAAAGTGGGAATATGGGTTTGAGATAGAGGATCAGCTATGATTGTATTGAATGATAGAGCTGAATGGCCTACTCCTGCGCATAGTTTCTATGATTCTAACCTATTGAATTATACTTATTATCTCATCTCATGGCCTTTCAAAATGTATGGTTAGTTAAGTACATGGCTAAGTAATATATCAAAGCAATTTATGGTTTTCAAGCATTGAATGTATATTCAAATTAACAATAAAAAAAATCTAAAATGCTGTCTTTCGGCCATGGGTAGAACTCTGACCTCAGTTTCAAGTGGTGATGGGTCCCGATTCAAAAATCTAAGCATCTAATGTGGGCTGATACTTCAGTCCAGTAATGAAGGAGTGCTGAAATATCAGAGCTGCTCACTTTCAAATGAGATGTTATACTGTGGCCTCATCTACTCTCAGGCAGATACAAAAGAACCCACAGTACTATTTGAAAAAGAGCTGTTGGCTTCATTCCAATACCTTGATCGTCTTTAAACATTGGCCAGTAACTAAAACAGCATATGTAAACTGGTCATTTCATTCTTATTGTTGTGGAAACTTGTCCAAATTGACTTCTGCATTTCCTACGTTACAACAGTGACTACACTTTAAATATACTTCATTAGCTACAAAGCTCTTTATGGTGTCCTGAGGTTGTGAAAAGAGCTACATTAATACATTTCCTTTATTTCTACTATATTTTTCTCAATTGGTTATAAATTTGAAACCATCTGATACATTTTTCCCATGACACTTTTTGATAACTCCTTCATTTTAACTTACAGCAAGCCTTACAGAAGGGAAATGCTGGTATGATTTGATAAGAAAAAAAGTTATGTTTAAATCCTGTAATTAAATAACACCACTAATACAGTGCACAGCATAATCTCTCTGTTGCTTACCAAACAGCATATCCTTGAATTCACTGTTCACAGTGCCATGAAATCCCATGAATGTATTTGTATTGTGTGTGACCCTACAGTTGCTGTCTCACTTCTATTTGTAAATTTTGAGAGTGGTTAATATTGTTAAAGCCGATATTTTTTAACCTGCAGGATCATTTTAATTAACAGAATGTCAGTCGCCTCGCATGTCAGTAGCCTTGGTAATCGAATTTAAAAAGATTGTCAGACCGAAATAAACCTATTCATATAAATGTGAACAATTAATTTCATGAATTCAGGATAATCACACATGCACTGTGGTTACACTAATGTTCTCCAATACGTTAGGCATTAACCACATGTCATTAATTTGGAATTAGGTGTGATGAGTTGCATTTCTAGCTAGTAAATTAAACTATAAGTAATGGGCATGTGATTCCTGTACAGTGCATGGAGGTATGCTTTAACCATTATCTGCATTTGTTTCTAAAGTCTGGAAAAGAGAAACAAAGTGCTGATATGTTTGACAATTTTTGTACTTTTATTTCTTTGATACATATTGGTTACTGTGAGAATCATGTCTAACGTTAACATCAGGGTAACATCTGCAACACTATATGGAGAGAAGAGTTGTTTTTCTGGCCATCCACCTATCAAATTACTCGCGTAGACCAACAATACAAAGCAAATCCAAGAAATAGTGAGTGTCAGAGCAACAGGCAAGCAAAGTTCAACCCCATTCTGGCAAGAGGGCAGGTTGGCTATGGACGCGTCTTGAAAATAAATAGCATTATCACGAGGGAAAGTGCTTATAGATGGCTTCTGTGAGTAGTTCATTTGTAGAATTGACTGCGGCAATAGAGACTGATCAAAAACATTTGAAAATGGGCAAAAGTTGGTTTATAGATGCTTGAAGAAGTTCATTTTACCTTGTGGAATTGAAAATAAGCCACTTTGCCTCTTGTATAGAAAGTTGACAGCTGAGAATGATTTTGAAGAAATGCTTGAACCTGTGCAACAGTAAATTTCCAATCTAACTGCTTTGATTACGTTACTTATCTTCTCTATCAATATTAACACTGTTTTATATTTGCACTTACCTGATCACGCTTTTACCTAACATCTTAATTTTTTATTCTCCGGCTAGGATTCAATACAAGCACCAATGTTGTTGTTCTGGCAGGAACAAATCGACCTGATATCCTTGACCCAGCACTGATGAGACCAGGGCGATTTGATAGACAAATTTATATTGGTAGGTTGACAACTAATGAATTAGGCAGCTAACAAAGTTCATGACTTACTTTGCCAGCTCCTACAGTGTGGATAAGATCAAATTATTGGTGGTAGGCTTTCTTGCTACAGAAGCTAAGTAGCTGAGCTGATTTGAAATTCCTAATTTGGCATGATTTAAACTGCATTCGAACTTTCATGGTAGTGTTAGGAAAGTTCTGTGCTTCTTTGCTGTAGACTGCTTACTGTTTGTATGTATACTGTAAACAGGTGCAGTCTCAATATATAAAGTAGTGTTTCTGCATCCAGGTTCAGTGTAATTAACCAAATTTGTGCAAAAGAATTTTAAACATGCATTACACCCAAAAACAGTGCATTTGTGCTTTCTGTGATCTTCTGTTCTGGTTCAAGATTCAATTTACTTAAATCTGGCCCTTCCCAATAAAATGGAAAGTTAAAAATCTTTTCATGTCAAAAAGACCTTGATTTATTAAGAAATCGGCTAGTGTACACCAAAGAAGCTATTAAATGATCGTTCAGTTTCTCAGTCATTTTCAATGATTACAAATCCAGTTGATCAGAGGTGGAATTTTATTAAAAATGCTTACTTTTGGATTAACTCATTTTTAGCAGTATTAACAAAACTGCACAGGTTTTCCATTTAAATATATCAACAAATATTTTGGAGGAAAAAAAATTACGTTCTATTACAGTGTCTAATTCACGGAAGGTTTTGTTTATGATTATTCAAGCATATGTTGTGCATAATCTCCCAATTCTGTTCAAAACATAACCCCTACCCCGCAATGTTCAGTATTGTTCAACTAATCATCAAAAAGCAAAAATCTTTCATGTGCAACATAATTGACTTGATAAGTGCAATTTGAGTTTTTATTAATGTGTAGAACAGTGTTGCCAGCTATTAGCCTAGATGGTACAAGAAAGGAATTAGGAAACCTAAAATATGAACAGCAAGTGTCTGTACCAAAGTCTTTTATGGCATTGGGAGATCTTCCATAAAATAAGAATGATGCTATTTATGTCCCAGGAATATTAAAAAGAGGAGTCCTATTTTAAATTGTTCAGCGTTGCCTTGTTTAGAATTATAGCAAATATCAGTATCAATAAGTTCCAAAGAAGAGTCATACTGGACTGAAACCCTAACTCTGTTTCTCTCTCCTCGGATGCTACCAGACATGCTGAGTTACTCCAGCACTTTCTGTTATTATTTCAGATTTCCAACTTCCATAGTATTTTGCTTTTAATCTTGGGTTCTGTTTTGCCACATTAAGAATATCATTTTCCCTCAACATTTTCAAATGGATATAGTTGGCCCATGTTGCTTAGCTGTTTCACAGCAGCTTTAGTACAAAAGGAATGATGATGTGATTCTTTCAGAATTCCTGAAGATGAAGTGGATAGCATTCATGCCATAAACAGTTTCATGTAAATTTGTGTCACAGTTAGGATCCTTGCCTCAGACTCTCTTAAATTAAACAATTGACATTGTTATAACTAAAATAGAAACGTAAAATACATCATGCATTTTTTGTGCATTCCAAAAATAACATAATGTTTTACAGGACCTAATCAATGTTTTGAATATATTAGGATATCATTTATTCACTGGGAACTCAGCCAATTTTGTAATTTATCTCAAGTTTGACTGGATTTGTTTTGACTTGCAGGTCCACCTGATATCAAAGGACGAGCATCAATTTTCAAGGTTCATCTCAGCCCATTGAAGATGAACTCTAGAATCAGTAAGGAAACATTGGCACGTAAACTAGCTGCACTCACTCCAGGGTTCACTGGTGAGTCTTCGACAAAGACAGAGAACTTAATTATACAGTTAGTCTTCTGTGGCTTAAAACTTGTAAGCAAATTTATAACTAGGCCTTATGTATTTATTCCCCAGTTATTCATGAGACAAAAGAAAAGGTTGAATGAGTGTTGCAGTTCAGACCAGTGCAACAGTTTGAAAGCAGACTTTGTCGCAGTAAAGGCATTGACTCATAACCATTATTTAGACAGATTTGGTGATTTGTGGGTTTGCACATCATAAAGTGATTCAGGATGTTGGGTTTAAATCCATGTCAGAATGATGCAGTGCAAATCTCCCAGCTGGATCGCTATTTGATACATGTGTAGTTAACATTTATGTAGTTCTTAATGACTCGTGGGTTGAACGGTCTCCTTCTCTGTTGTAATGACTCTGTAACACAGAACCTGATGGTTTACTATTAAATTGCCATGTATGAATCTGTGTTTTACAAGGAGACATCTCACATTAAGATTGGACCATTGCAGAAGTAGTTTTATCTTGCATTTGATTCTTTATCTGCCTAACGCTTAGTGAGTTTAACTGTCTTGACAGTTGGTAGAAAAAAGGCAGTTTTTATTCCCTAATGCTGAAACCCCCAGCATCCACAAAAATCAAGATTTTATAACTCCTATTCGACACTGATAGAATATTTTGTTTTTTGCAGGTGCTGATATTGCCAATGTATGTAATGAAGCTGCTCTGATTGCTGCTCGTCATTTAAATGAATCAATCCATGTGAAGCACTTTGAACAGGCAATAGAACGTGTGATTGGAGGTGAGATTGACTTGAAATGTGCCTGCTGAGCATTTAGCCACAGTCCAGCGATGTTCCTGTTAAGTGCATTGGCCATGCTAAATTGCCCATAGTGTCCAGGGATGAGCAGGCTAAGTGGATTAGCCATGGGAAATGCAAGATTACCGGGATAGAGTAGGAGGGTAGGTCTGAGTGGGATGCTCTTCAGAGAGTCAGCATGGACTCGATGGGCGAAATGGCCTGCTTCCACACTGTGGGGATTCTGTATTGATGATTTTTCTACTTAGTTTTTTCTTTGGCTTCTCAAATTGCAGAATAGTGATGGTCACTGGTGATGACTGTTTCACTGGTTGCTTGTTTAAGCAAGCTATGATCTTGAAAGGGAACTTGGAGCTTCAGCTGCTGGTGAAAACATTCTGTTTATTCCATACTTGTATAACTTTTGGTAAAACTACAATTAGATCTTTTAAATTCTTGATTCTGTGCTGCTCTCAACTCTTTTGGTTCTTGCGAGAAATCAACCGAACTTAAATCTCTGCAAAATTAGTCATCTTTACTTGACCCATGGAAAAAAGTGAGAATAAGAAGAAAGTGTGTTTTTGGGAAAACTTTTGCAATGATTAGGAAAGCCAGTCTTGCATTTCTTTGCGTCTGTGTCATTCTTACAATGATTGCTGAACAGAAAGTATTTCCTCCAAAGATGTGCAGGTTAGGTAGATTGGTCATGAAATGTACAGTACAGAAATTGCCCAACCAGTCTGTGCAGGTGTTTCAGACAAGTGTATTCTCAATAAATCTGCCTGAGCTCAACCTTCGAATGTATCTATTGTAGATTAATCACTTAAATTGATCTTTTTCGACATATGCAGAACATTCAACCATATCAGTAATTTGCATTTTAATGTTGATGAACTAAATGGTTTAGTATCTTCTCAGAGTCTATCAAAGCCAAATTTCTTTCTTTCTTAATGTTGCAGCTTGGAGCTATTAGATGGTGGGAGTTTAGAGTTATTCTGTTGAGAGTTAAGTGCACCTGAACAGATTGCTATCTTTAATACATTTAACATTTACCTTCCTAAAAAGAAACTCTATAGTAGCATGTTTCCTCCTTTTAAAGCTGATTATGATTTGAAGTTACTGGTTTCTGAGGTTCTGTTTACTTTCTGTCTGCATGATAGAAGTGTTTCCTTAATGAATAATCTTAATTCGGCTGCAAAATCAGATATAGAAAGCAATGATAACAATTAGCAATGTGAGAGCTTGTAATTCAATGCAATATTAGATTCCAGCAATGTCAACAAGCTCAATCTACCTGTCCCAACCCTCTGAAAGTGACAGAATAAAACTAGCAAAGACCATGGACTTCACAATAAGCAATGCTGTGGGATGGTGGTTTGCAAGCAAATCTGTTGTGATCGTACAAATTCCTATGATTGCTTCCATTTTATTGTACTTGTAACAACTTTAATTTTGGCTGTCTTCTGAGGCTTGATGAGGAGTTTAGTCCTGGTAATCTTTATGTTGTCACACTATTTCTTATACTTAAATAGCAGGCACGTTGCATGCGATAGTATCTCCCAATAATGCTATAATGTGCAGGTGCCAGTGTGGGACTGGGTTGGACAAAGTCAGAAGTCACACAACACCAGGTTATAGTCCAACAGGTTTATTTGAAATCACAAGCTTACGAAGCATTGCTGCTTCATCAGCTAAGTGTAAAAGAAGGCATATTTCTATCCAAGTTATAAGATAGCAGCAAATGAAATCTGAGAATCTAGTATGCACAGAAGTACAGCCCTGAAGCTTAGCAGGTAACAGCAGCAGGAGGATGTCGGTAACAACAAGTTAAAATAAATTACCTTAAAAGAATGCAGTTAGGTGCAAAGTCATGTGACAGTAATCAGGGCATACATTGTAGTCTAGTGTGCAGGACAGTCCCAATGACAGGAGGCATTGAGATCACTGGAATTCAAGTGCAGGTAGGTTTCCATCTGTGGAAAAGCATACTGCTCAAACACAAATCAAGTTAGGTCATATTGTCAGCAATGTGCTTTAAACATTTGGATGAAATTTGTAGATTGCATTAAAATTATTGAGGAAAGAGATTTTAAGCAGTGAAAGAGAAGATACTGGCGAGGTGGAGGATGGGAGCTGATGGGTGACCATGGATGATCATAGATTTCAAAGACAGTGCCTTGCCAGCCTGGGCACTTAGGGTTAGGATTAGGTAACATGGTCAGTTTATAACGTCTGTTGCCTCTTTGTAGTTAGAGAAGACTCTGAATTGTGATTTTGTATCCGTATGTATATGTGATGAAAATATCATCCTCATTGAGCAATTTTAATCTGTATGTCAACAACTTGTGTTTGTAAAATTTAATCAAGCAGCCATCTATGTTGTTTACTCTATTTGTCCCTTATAGGCAAGGCCACCCTCTGACCACTTCATTGTATACCACAGCACTCAGAGTGATGTAGAGCTGTACAGCACGAAACAGACCCTTCAGTCCAACTCATCCATGCCAACCAGATATCCTAAATTAATCTAGTGCCATTTGGCAGTATTTAGTCCATACTCCTCTTCCTATTCATATACCCATATACACAACATATTTGAAATAAATCTGTCTTTTCATGAACATCAGAGATTTTAATTGCTTAAGTATCCAGTTCATTCATCAATATATATTATTTCAAAAATGCAGTAGAGCAGGAGTGGAGACGATATGCTAAGCATCTAAACTGTGATCATACTATGGCTTTAAGAGGTGTATTTTGTCCTGTTTTTCTTACGGAGAAAAATAGAGACAGAAGTACTGCTCAAAGCCAATAGAGTAAACAGCTTGTGAGGCCTTGGGGTGTTTTTTTAAAAGTTGGAACAATAGGAGCAGCCAGGGTGGAGTCAAGTTCCCACAAAACCAAGATTTTTAGTTTTAGCTATCAGCAGTTGCTGGGATCTGAAAGCTGGATGTGGAAGCTCTTATTCCTCTCTGTGTTACAGCTAAAAGCTAGGGTTCTCTTTCTGCTGCTAGGATTGCATGTGAGACAATCTATTTACTGAATTTACCTTTGCCAAGGGTGTATTTATGGGATGTTGCTGTATTGGAACAGTTAATTAGTAGTAGTTAATATACGTATTGTTTTGTTAAGCATTTCGATAGGGTTACGGTTAAGCCAATTCTTTTATTTTTATTTTGTCTGTACTTTAACTGTAGTACAAAACTAAAGTGTGTTTTGCTTAAAGTTTCTGAAGAAGGGTCTAGACCCGAAACGTCAGCTTTCCTGCTCCTCTGATGCTGCTTGGCCTGCTGTGTTCATCCAACTCTACACTTTGTTATCTCAGATTCTCCAGCATTGGCAGTTCCTACTATCTCTTTGCTTAAAGTTAATAGTTTGACCAATTGAATTTCATCCGGAATGCAGTGCCTCACACTTAGCTTTAAATTAAGAAAACGTTAGTGCGTAGACTGTCTTCTTAATATATTTTGAGGGGGTTTGGTCTGGTCCATAACAAAACCAAAATTTCCCTGAACAATCTATCCATTTAAATCTACATCTTTCTTTTGCTGATTGCGTTTTGTTCTTTGCTTCATTTTAGGATTAGAGAAAAAAACACAGGTCTTGCAGCCTAATGAGAAAAAAATTGTTGCCTACCATGAGGCTGGACATGCTGTTGTTGGCTGGTTCTTGGAACATGCAGACCCTCTACTTAAAGTAAACAACAATCACTGATGTTTCTATTTTGAAGAAAAGTATGAGTGAATATTTTGACACCAAATAGGATATAAGAACTCGGTAGCACAGTTCAATTGAGTAATAATTTGTGCGAATGAATGGAAGTTTTCCGGCTTTACACTTTGATTCATCTCGCCTGAAAGTTGTTATTCTCAAATTGTTTGCTTGACGAACATACTAAATAGGAAACAAGAAACAAAGAACTGCAAATCTGAAACAAAAACAGAAATTGCTGGAGAAACTCAGCAGGTCTGGCAGCATGTGTGGAGAGAAGTTCTGCAGCAGGGTCTCTGGACCTGGAACGTTGAGTTTGCTTTCTCTCCACAGATGCTACTAGACCCACTGAGTTTCTTCAGCAATTTCTGTTTTTATACTAAATGGGAAAGATTGATTCTTTCAAAGATGGAAGAATTTGTGGAACAAGATATTATAAAAACAAATGATGAATTAAGTGAGAATTAGCACAGTTTTTGCTATATGTTTCTTGAATATGAACATACAAATTAGGAGCAGGAGTGGGCTATTAAGGCCCTCAAGCCTGCTCTGCTGTTCATCAAGATTATGGCTAATCTGATTAATCTCAATCCGTATTCTCGCCTACCTCTGAAAAGCTTTCACCCTTTTGGTGATCAAGAATCTATCTACTTCTGCCATTAAATTATACAGGGACACTGCTTCTCTCATCTTTTAAGGAACAGAGTTTCAAAAACTCAGGACCCTCTGAGTGGAAATGTTTCACCTAATCTGTGTTTCAAGTAGGCAACCTCATATTTGTAACCAGTTAGTAGAAGCTAAATGGCCATTTTGAACCACAACAACCCAAAAAGAAGATAAAAGGGTAGTTTTATGATTTTCCATTTGTAGGAAGAGATATACCATTCTTTTAATGGCAAGAAAGGAAAAGATTACCAAGGAATAATATCCATTGCATTGTATGATATCAGTGTTTTAAAAAACACCAAACAGTTTAATTTCTGAATTATATGCTCTTCCCATTTTGTCAAATTCAGATTGTGATTGCACCAACCTTGTTTCTAATTACCAAATTGGAAAAATATAGAACAATTCTTTTCATTTATTTTTGATCCTTTTTTTATCGCCAAGAAAGCTTTCAAGATATTTTCAGCTCATGTTTTAATAGTGAAGCTAAAGATATGGAAACATTCTAAGTGAAAAGCATTTGAAGTAGATTGTTCCTGTGTGTGTATTGAAGGTTTATGATCACTCAGTGTAACAAATTATAGGTCAGATTTAAGGAAGTAATGTCTTATCTTGAAATTTTTAAATCCTTAGATATATAATGTCTGGCTGTTTCTGCAGGTCTCTATTATACCTCGTGGGAAAGGTCTTGGCTATGCGCAGTACTTGCCTAAAGAGCAATACCTTTACACAAAAGAGCAGCTCTTTGATCGCATGTGCATGATGCTTGGTGGTCGAGTGGCTGAGCAGATATTTTTTGAACGCATCACAACAGGTGCTCAGGATGATCTGAAAAAAATCACACAGAGTGCCTATGCCCAGGTAAAACCTTCTTTCATATCTCATTATCATCTCAATTATTTCCTTGGAGTTGGAAAAGTATGAGTTCCAACTAAGGATGTCCATCCAAAAGACCAGAGTTTGAATCCCAGTTTGATCTGCCAATCATTCTGGAGCTCGTCAAATAGAGTTTCTTCAGTTTCAAATGAGTCACTTGGGAAAGGAGGTCACCCTCCTTGTACTTTTTCTCCTGGGAGAAGCAAAGTTGTACATTGTTCACTTACATTTCATTCTTTCATCCTGGTGGAGTAGAGCCAATGGTTACATTTTTTTGGAGACATGTTATCACTAATATTAATGCTTTAATATGTGGTAGTTATTTTTGTAACATTATTTTCATCACTGAACAGAGCCATGGTTAATATAGGTTGTCTGAGAACTGAGATACAAAATTTAATGGTTTGACATGGACGTTAATTTTTGATGTCAAGAGATTTCAATTTTAATTAGTGCAGTTAAAGAGAGAGTATTTTCAATGCAGTGGCAAATGCTATCCAACTTTACCTTGCTAAGTGATTGAATTGGCATTTTTTATTCTTTCACAGGATGTGGCTGTCAGTAGCAACTATCTTATCAAACTCTTCTGATTTGCTCATCTCTGGCAACAAATTTTCTGAGCTCATAGCTTCCTTCATCTCCAAGAAACCGATCATGCAGCAACCTGCTTTGGCTTCTCCTTCACACCTAAGTTAGACCTTCCTATTCTTTGTTCTCTACCACTCTTTGAACGCTTGTCTTTTTCTTCATTTCTCCTCTTTGTCTTTCACTCCTCTGTGCACATGTGCCCCTTTTCACACTGATATCCTGATTGCCTTTTCTCGGTTCTACTTTTGCTCATTGTTGTAAAAGGTCCTCTTTCTTTAGGTATTGTCTCACACTTTTAAAAATAAGGATCTGCAATCCAGAGATCTTGGTCCTCACTAGCACCTCTCCCATCTCATTGAAACAAAGAAATTAGGAGCAGGAGTAGGCCATTTGACCCATTGAGCTACTCCACCATTCAACGTGATCATGGCTGGTCCTTCTCTCAATGTCATATTCCTGTTCTCTCCCCTTAAGCATTCTAGATAACCTCTAGAAATCCAACTCCACTCATCACTGCCTTCCACTCCAAAAATGACTTGCTCGGCCCTAGTCTCTTCTGTCTGCTAATAAATTCTCAGTCCATGCAAATATATTACCAACAGTCCCGTGTGCTTTGATTTTGCACATTAAGCTCTGAGGTGGGACTTTATTAAGAACTTTATTATTAAAAAATCCAATTCACCACATCAAGCTGATGTCTCTCATCTGTCTGCGAGTGACATCCTGCAGTATATTTCTCAAACAGGATTTCACTGTTGTGAATCCATTCTGACTTTACATAATTCCGTTGATATTTTCTAGGTGTTCTGTTATCACAACTTTAATGGTAGACTTCAGTATATTCCCTACCACTGATGTCAAGATTAATTGCTCTGTAATGTCCAATTTCTCCTTTCTTGCTTTTTTAAATATTGGAGTTACATTTGCCACCCTCCAGTCTCCCAAGACTGTTCCAGAATCTACGGAATTTTTAAAGGTGATAGCCAATACATCCTCAGTTTCAGTGGCCACCTTTTGTCATATCCTGGGATATAGATTATCAGACCCAAGAGATTTATCAGCTTTCAGTGCCATTAATTTCTCTAGCACTGTTTTGTTTTTTGCTGATGATAATTTCCTTCAGTTCCCCTTTCCCAATTTTCTCCAATATTTCTGAAATATTTTTTTTTTTCCTCCTTGTTCCAATCCTGTCTCTGCAACAACCTTTTTGGTTGAATCCTTCTATCAAGTTATGGCCCCTTCCACACCACTGATTTAGCCCTGAAGAAAGTCACGTAGTATATACGTGGCAATAATCCTTTATTTCTCCTCATTCTCCAAAACCTGTGCGGTCAATCATATAATCCTCCTCCAAAATCTTTTTTCTATTATCAGCTTATTGAGACTTCTCTCGTTTGGATTCCAGTTAGACAAAGCATTTCAGAAATTGCTTCTTTGGCCAAATAATGCTGCCACTGCAAGGATCTTCCATGTGAACTCTTGACTATTGGGCTGGAACCAGTAATAATAAAAAACTATGACTGCACCTTTACCTTTTAGTAACCTTATCTGCATGCACGAAGGCAGATTCCTTGTTTGAGCTTATGATACTCTGCTGGCCTCTTAGCAAAGTGCTTGACCCAAATGGAATGTTCTATTATCTATAGCATTAGGAAGACCAAAACTACATATTCACACCCCGTACCTTCAAACTTTGCTCCATCACCTCCTTTCCTAAAATTGAGATCATTGTGTATCAATCTGAATTTTGCTTTATACCCATTGGTATGTATGTTTCAATTAGATACTTTTGGAGGACCAGAAGGATTCTTGAATCTTCAAACAGTTTTGTTATCTCAGGAGGCTATCACCATGTGATAAATGCTGACTTGTGCATAATGATACGAAAAGCAAGAAAGTCCTGCTCTAATGTGTATTTATTTAGCTTTACTCAGTTATGCTATTAATTATTTAAAGAATGTGTAACTTGTTTAACAATCCTGTAAGTGATGAACCTTTACTGTGGAATTTTGCACTTTATAGTAATGCATAATCATCAAGTTTCATGAAGCTGTTGTAGGAACTCTGCACCTAATCAGCTGGTTCAGCAAAAGTTGGAAATTGAGTTTGTCACATCTGCTCCATATGACTCAGCAATTCATTTGGTATTCTTTCTATCTGGGAGTTCTGATCTATTTATGAATTTTTTTTTCCTCCTGTTTTACAGATTGTTCAGTTTGGTATGAGTACAAAACTTGGGCAAGTTTCCTTCGACCTTCCACGACAAGGTGATACAGTTGTTGAAAAGCCATACAGTGAGACCACAGCACAGATTATTGATGAAGAGGTTCGGGCTCTTATTGGTACAGCAAATGAGAGAACTGTGGCATTGTTGAAAGAGAAGCAACTGGAAGTTGAAAAGGTAATTGGTTGTATTGTTACTAGTGCAGGAATTATGCACTATCAGATTGTCTTCCTCCACACTACTATTCTTCATATTTCACTTTCCTGAAATTTACCAACTGGTAAATCATTCTGGTTTCTCTTGAGATGTTACTAAATTCCAAATAATTTTGGAGAAATAACATTCTGCCATTTCCTTGCTTACAATACCAATGACCCCTCAGTCGGCAGAGGGAAAGCTCTCCACTGATTGAAGACATACTTAGCACAAAGGAAGATATGGTTATTGGAGGTCAGTCATCTCAGCTGGAGGATGCTTTGCAGGAGTTCCTCTGCATCAGATCCCACCATCTTCAGCTGCTATATCAATGACCTTCCTTCTATCATAAGGTCAGAAGGGGATGTTTGCTGATGAATGCACAAGTTTCAGTGTCATTCAGATTTCTCAGATAATGAAGCAGTCCATTTCTAAATGCAGCAAAACCTAGACATCCAGTATTCTAGTATCCAGGCTTTGGCAGTAAAGTGATAGTAACATTCACAAACACAAGTGTCAGTCATTAACCGTCTCCACCAAGAGAGGATCTAGCTATTATTCCCTGACAGTAAACGGCGCTGGCATCACTGAAACCCCTCTTGTCAACATCCTGGGGGTTACTATAGAAACTGAACTGGACTAGCTGTATAGATACTGTGGCTACAAGAGCAGGTCAGAATCTAGAAATCCAGCAGCGTAGTAAACTTATCTCTTGACTCCCCAATGCCTGCCCATCATCTACAAGTCGCAAGTCAGAAAGTGATAGAATGCTCACTTACTGTACTAAATGAGTACAGGTCTAACAATATTCATGAATCTTGACAGCATGCAGGGCAATGCAACGTGCTTGATTGGTTCCACATTCATAAACACTCAGTCCAGCACCAACAGACAGCAGTGACAGTGTGGACCATCTAAACGATGCACTGCAGAAATCCACCAAGGCTCCTTAGTCAACACCTTTTGAATGGAAACACATTCAGGTGAAAGTTCCTGTCCAAGCGATATTGCTATTTCTTCACGGTATCAAAATCCAGGAACTCTTTCCCTAACACTGTTGTGGATGTGCCAACAGCGCGTGAACTGCAACGATTCTAAAAGATAGCTCACCGCTGTAAGGTCAGTTAGGGATGGACAATAAATGCTATCCAAGCCAAATCTGTCACACCATTATAAATAAAAAAGTGTGCTCAGTGTTTAACCTGTAAAACCTTCATAGTTGGTTCTATTACACTTTTCAAGCTTTATTATACTTCTAATTCCTGCCCTTGTTACCAATGGTTGTGTTTACATATTTCAGTTCTAATTTATATAAATGTAAAAAAATTCATCCATTATGTATTTAAGCTGGCAGCAGATACTGAGAAGGGTCTTTGACTGAGGCCAATTGAATTGATTAATGCTGTAATTTACTACATTCCATTATAATTTTTCCCTCTAATTTGTAACCTTTGTATAGAGAACTGAACAAAAGAATGCATTTAATGTTCAAAAGAAAATCTTTTCAACTGTTCCATTCTTCAGTTTGTAGCCTGAATTGCCAAGTTCAAAAAGCACAAAACTATCATTCCCAGTTGCACATAAGACCTTGAAGATGTTTACTTTTAAATTTACTTTCTCCCTTATAGTGGGTAAACTGCCTTCAAGTAAGCCATTCAAAAGGGGTTGGGAGAACTACAGAATGTGAACATATTTTCTGACACTAAATATTATAGACCAGTGGAATTCCCAGAGTTCTGAAGCAACAAAACAAACTCAAATTTCAGTTGCCCAAAATAATGGGTTTTATTGACAATACCAGCTGATGGCAGATGGCAACAAAGTAGCAATTTGGAATCATAAGCACCAAGCTTTTCTGCAAATTTTCTTGCCTCCCAGGTGTGGAACATTACTCACTGATTTGAGATCTCTAATTATCTTGTTTGTCTTTTTCTTTTATCAGGTCGCTGAACGATTACTAGAGAAGGAAGTACTCGATAAAAGTGACATGATTGATCTTTTGGGACCTCGACCATTTTCAGAAAAATCCACTTACGAAGAATTTGTTGAAGGTACTGGTAGCTTTGAAGAGGACACCACTTTACCTGAAGGTCTGAAGGACTGGAACCAGGAGAGGGAGGAGACTAAAGAGGAACTGCCACACAAACAGCTAGCATGAAACGTGTTAAGTACCTTTGTATTTTATGTAAACTGGAGAGCTTAGTGGTGACCAAATTGAAAGGTTTGCTTCGCTAGGATAAAATTGAGAATGCCTGCACTCTAATTTGGAACAGTTCTCCCATATGGTCGTCCTTGGTAACTATAGGCTGTATGAAGCAGCTCATGCAGTCATACCTTTCATTGATTCAGGTGATGGCCATATTTTGTCACTGAATTGAAAGCAGTTTGGACTGAGTCTGCAGGATTTCGGAAACTGCGCTGACTCTGGTAAATCTATTGCCTCCTTGTCTGAAAGAAAGATTCAGTCTATTTATTGGTAAGTGCTGGAACAAAAATAAACCTAAAGGAGAGTTCAAATGTTCCTTTAATAAATGAACCAAATTTAATTGGTTATAACATGGTAATTTCAAGGGGACTTGAATTTTATGCAAATGTGAAAATATTTGCCTATAAGTGTGCATATTCTTCGCTAGTACTATAATTATCAATCTTTGTAACTTTTGATTTTCTTAATTACTTTTACTGTATACCGAAATTAGTTTAGCGACTTGAAATTCTAAATCTGAAACCTGAACCCATTTCATTTTTAATTATATGCGCAGACCTAAATTGGTGTAGAATGACAATATATTTGAAAAAATTGACAACCCCACAAAATTTATTTCCATCCTCTAAAAGTTCCATTTTAAACCACCAATTCTTATTGAAGTCTTTCATGCAATGACCTAAATAAATGTAACATTTAAGCACTCAAGTAAGAATAATACGGGTGTGCTGGATAGTTAACTTTTTCAAACTGATCATGGTTTGTAAATTATTGATTCTTATGATCATGAATACTAATGTATTAAGCATCTAACTTAGATATTCTGTGATGCGTTGTAGCTGATCACTCCCTTAAACAATCTGTGTGTTGTGTTTCAGACACATATGTACTGTCCAATATTTATCATATTGTTACTCATTTAGATCTATTTGTGACCTGAACTGGATGCTGTACTTTCTCACTTGCCTTATTTCCTTCTTGAACTATTCAATACTTAATTGGGAAACTCTTAATGAAAGAAGGCCATATCTGAATTGTTGAGTTGCTTTATTTAATGGGCATTAAGTGAACATAGAGATAGCAAGTTCTCCTTATTATCTCAAACCTACTTCTGTCCACAAAAAAGTAAGAGCAATAATAAACAATACTGTTGACTGTTTTCTTTTGTCATCACTTTTCCTTCAAGGCAACTTCTGCTGCAGACAACATTGATCTTTTGCAGCTGCTGGCCCTGGCCTTACAACTTGCAGTTTCTTGTCTCCTTTTTTTATCCTGGCTAGCCATATAAATTCCTTCATGTCTCCACAGGGACGGTGAGAAGGAGGAGCAGGTGTAGGTTGTTGGAGAAGAGGAGAGATGTACAGCTGGGTTTCTCGTCATGGTAGGCCTGTGAATTAAATTAACTGCTACTTCGTGTTTTGAGCTTAGTAAGGCCTTCTGCTGATTTGTTTTTAAGACCAGGAAGGCTATCTTGGAATTGCCTGGGACCAAGCAACTAGCTCTAATTCTTGTGAATATCACATAGCAACTCATCTAGCTTCAAAGCCTGCAGCATTTGACTTTATTTAATCCTGTATAAATTATTTTGTTTCAAAATGCAATTTTTAACCATAACACAATCCCAAAATTCTTTCAAGTAAGAAACAATGGGGGAAAATTCTCAAAGGTGCCTTGTTAACTTGACTGATCTCTGATGCAGAATGCTTTTGGTGAAGATTTGAAACAAAATTGGATTACAAATTCCACTGTTGCTACTTAAGTGTGATTGATTCTATTTTCTGATTTGTGCAAATAAAGTTAATCTTTTCTCTATTCAATAGTCTCTTCTGAATTTCCAGAAAATTTCTTGATTTCCAAAGCTTTCTGTAATTAATTTTTTTTTCCATTGAAGTCTGGTATTGGCATTGACCTTATAGTAGTAATATTATCTTGAGGTAAGGTTCATTATTCTTTATCATTATTTCTTCAATTTCTGTCAACTCTTCTAAGAGGCTCATGGTCTCATTCTAAGCAAACGTGACTGCTAGCCACTGTGAATGGTTGATCATTTCAGACATTCACTGAATTCGATTTGCATTGATTGAGGACTGCATTGCTGCAGATATAGGATAATCATTTATGATGGATTTTACCATTACCTATGTGGCTTTAATTTAATAGACAAGATCAAGGTGAAAACCAAATATGTGGGGAAAAATAGCTTTTTGGTTTCACTGTGTTTCTGAAGTTAAATATTGTCTTGTGAAATTGTAACCAAGCTGGAAGATTCGAACATTACCATGCTCAAATTAAAATTTGTGGTGACCTGTCTTTCACTTGCTAAGTCCATGAGCAGTAAACTGTTCATCTTGTGTTGTTTACATTATCACCCCTCTAAATTGTTTTTCTAAGTCTTGTGGGATCCAGCTTAGGGTCTGTCCTTGCCCGTTTAGATTAGCTACCATGTAGTTAAAGCTTGAACAAAAACGAAAGAACTGCAGATGCTGTAAATCAGAAACGAAAACAGAAATTTCTGGAAAACCTCAGCAGGTCTGGCAGCATCTGTGATGAGAAATCACAGTTAATGTTTCGGGCTGAGTGACCCTTCCTCGAAACTGATTTCTCTCCATAGATGCTGCCAGACCCACTGAGATTTTCCAGCAATTTCTGTGTTTGTGCTAGTTAAAGCTTGAATATTGCTGTTCACTTGAGACTCTCCTGACAAAAGGTGATTATTAGTATTCTGTATAGTTTAACATTTTTATCGTTTAAGTTAATTGGAGAATTATGCTGTCAGATTGCCTGTAAAATTGGTTTGGTCATTCTGAATTCAATGATTATAATTACTGTGTGTTGTCTTTTGGCATTTATGTAGTGAATATTGCTATATACTGTTCGTCATTTTGCTGCAGCAAGAGGTTTAAATAGTCACATATCTTTTGTATAGAGAGGATTTATTCTGAACAATTATTTTAAATTCTGTATATTCATACGAACTTCTTACAAAAAATTCAACTTTTTTCTGCTTATGTTTTGGAGCTGTATTTAATTGCTGCATCTGGATTTTTGTAATTATTATGCCTTATCAAATGTTACATTGGCCACAATATTTCATGTTTTTGGCAGTGGAATATTTGTAGCTGCTGCATTCAAGTATTTACATGGAATTTATTACAATACTACAGATAAATTACTAACATCTGAGATTTTAAAATGGAAAATCAACAACAACAAGATTCAAAAGTAAATCTTTGAAGCACTGCCCAGATAAATGAATGTCTACATTACAGTCATACGGTCTTGCAAGTTAATATATTTTTGTGAAGAAGGTAAAATCTCCATAGGTCACAATGATGAAGATTCTGTACAAGTAGTAACAAATAAGACATATCTGTATCAATTTTTGTCATGCTGGGTGCCAGGATATGGCAGATGTTAGCAGCATATTCAGCATCACTATTCTACTAATATTGCAAAAAGAGAAGTTTGGCACTGCTCCTTCATTACTCGATACTTGTCTGTACATTTATCCATACTTCTGCATTGAATATGTGCTATCTCCAGCGGAAAATGTCAGGGAAAAAAAGTAGCTAATTTCTTTTGCTTACATTTTTATTTAACCCGAGGATAATCTAGTAAGTTAAACTGTCCATGATGTGACTGATTCAGAGAAAATATGTACGTTAAGATTTGCTAATGTTTGGTTTCACTTCCCATGGGCTTCGTTTTGATTACCTGCAAACTGCTTTCGTGGTAGGGTTGGAGTGAGTGCCAAAGCTGATAAAGGGAATAAGGTCTGAAGTAAAAGCAGAAAACATAGTTTGGAACTTCATTGATTCCTAAAGCTGTAAACAACAACATGTGTAAATACAGCATCAATATTACAAGCATCTTCACATGAGTTTTATCAAAAACACAGTTTAAATTGAAGCATGTAAGGCTAGAACAAAAGATTGGTCACAGAGATGGGTTTTAAAGTGTTTTATAAAAGCTGATAAAAGGGAAAGAGAAGGTAGTAAGAGAATTCAGGCTTTTGGGCCCATGAAGCTAAAAGCACAGTCACAACCCAATAGATTAAATGTGCAAGAAGAAAGAATTGAAGAAGATGAGATGTTCAATGGAGGGGTTATGGGTTGACTCAGTTTCGTAAAAACATGTATTTTCTTTCAATTCATAAATTTAAAGCTTTAAAAAATTGGGTCTAGTTGGATGTTACAGAAAGATCTGAAAATTAACAGTTGCGGTCAAGGTACAGATTCACAAATTTCTAACTCAAGTCAATAAATAGTTAATGTTACATATAAAATGCAGGAGACATAAAGTTGATTAGGAAAGGGATTAATTATACCTAATTCATTAAAATACCTTGTCTAAACTTTCCTTTTAAGTACCTGTGCACATGTTTACAACACGTACTGCCCATGAAAAGCTTCTAAGCTGTAAGTGTACATTCCTAACAAAGAGGTGGTGGTAACATTATTGGCAAGGTCTCTAATTAATGTTTACCTAGGCAGTTTCTAGTAAAGTTGTGGGCATGGAAATTTATATTCCAAATATAAAAGTACAGAATGTAAGACTTTAAAATGAGGAGTGGACTACACAACAGTGTGCCTTGTCCGATTTCCATCAGCTTTAAAACTGTGCTCACCTTGAAGGCTTCCATGCACAGTGCCCTGGGCAATCAGCTGCAACAGAAAATTACTCATTAAGAAAAAGTTTTATAAATAATTCAGGATTTCAACATCAAGGAAGCAGAAAGTGCGAATTCAGAATGGGTAAATGTAATTGGCAAGTGTCTGATTTACCATGCTCGTGACTCATTGCAATTCCATTATTTGCCTTGTGAAAGTAGCTATAATTTACCCATACAAATTACGGAAGCAAGTCTTGGTAGTGCTTGGTTTACCTCTCGTCATAGAATCCCTACAGTGTGGAAACAGGCCATTCAGCCCACCGAACCTCCAAAAAGCATCCCACCCAGAACCATCCTCCTACGCTTTCCCTGTAATCCTGCATTTCCCATGGCTAACACACCTAATCTACACATTTCTGAACACTAGGGGCAATATAGCATGGCCAATCTACCTAGCCTGCACACCTTTGGACTGTAGGAAGAAGCCGGAGCACCTGGAGGAAACCCACGCAGACACAGGGAGAATGCGCAAACTCCACACAGTCACCCAAGGGTGGAATCAAACCCAGATCCCTGCTGCTGTGAGGCAGCAGTGCTAACCACTGAGTCACCATGCTGATAAAATTTGAGCTGCTACAATATGTTTGTGTGTGTGGATATATAAAAGATGCAGCTTGTTCTTCCCTTGTGGTTTGACCAGTACAAAGCAGTCATCAAGGTATGGGAAAGCATTGTCATTTGGAACATTTCTTAACAGGTGCTGATGATGATGTGCTTAAATGCTAGGCCATTTGGAAAACTAGTTGATGTATTTTAAAGATTGACTAGTTGTCTGCATATTAATGTACCCCTGTTGAGTAGGTGGCCTGTTACCTGATCCAATTTTCCAATGGAGGTTGGCTGATTTAATGGTAGCTCCGGGAATGTAGCTTCTCCCTTCTCTTTCAAAAATGTGTTCCACTCATTTTATTAATTACCCATGTATACCTGTGTTTTGTTATTTTTACATGAGAAACTTAATTAGTGGTAAAAATAAAACTGAGAATTTTTGACAACTAAACATTCTGGTATCAGTATGTTCATTCTAGTAATGTTCCATCTCTCACTGAGAATCGTAACTCACTGCTAAGTCTACCTTTCCT